GTGAAGGAAATGCATTAAAGGCGAAAAATCGAGGATAGTTTCGTGTGACATATGCCAGTCTGGGCTATTTTGGTCTCAATGTTTCCTTCCTTCCCTCGTTATAAGGAAGGCACAGGCGGGCGCGGACAAATCGAGCCTGGGCCTCCTGTGATAATTCTGCTACGTACCACTCTGCAGTACAGTAGTAAATACAGAGCATAGTGCAGAAGTGCCGGGATGACTGTATTTTGAATCTAATTTTTGCCTAATTGGGAAGGCAGGAAAAGGTTACGTTTGGGAACTATTAAAAACAATGTATAAAAACTAAAATTTAGTATATGTAACTAAAATTATACCATGCTTTATATTATACCTGGTTTCGGTGTTTTTGTGGTTAGTTCACAGCGTCCGACAAGAAAATAACTTTTAAATTACAACAGAAAAGTTTTCACAAAAATATCATGGACTTTTTATATTGTAACGTGCAACCATAAGCACTTTCGAGCGAAGGCACTTCGTCTGGAGTTACTATAGGCCTTCGCTCGAAACGTTAAAATTATCCTTATATTATCCTTTTCAGGTAGTTTCGTTGGTAGGCATCCGATCCCTACCAACGAAAGCTTGTTCATATTTATATTGGCACACCTACATTGCCACAGACTGTTCAAGAGCATTGATCTGCTATATATACGCTTTTACAGTCAACAGTGAAAGATTTGCAGCAAGAGTTAGCAGTGACAACAATTGCCCTATTGATTGTAGTATCGTTTACAGTAATGTGCGTATTTGTAATAAACCCCAGCGAGTTAACGCTCCGTAGAGCGTCTTGTTTATTTTAATTTGTATTCAGAATAATTTGTTGTATAATGTACCTGTTCCTAGTAGCTTTTGTACTGAATACTTTCCCACAATCATCACAACAATAGTAGTATCCAAACTCGTCTCTTAGTTTTCCTTGTCTATTGGTCAGTTGCTGATGGACATTTATTTCATGGCTGTAAACAAAATTAATACATTTAGGGCCAGCACTCTCCAGGGATGCATTTACTGGGGGTGCAGGGGGGGGGGTGCACATGCCCCTTAAGCCCTGGCCAGGGGAGTGCCGGGGGTGCTATATTTTATGATAAGGCAATAAAATATTAGAGACAGAATGAAATACAGTAATTCAAGTAATACAGAGACATGCATGCAGTAAATTAAATAAAGTAATGCATATTAATTGCTACTTAGAGTGTTCATACGTTTATACATATACAAATTACCTTACTCTTGCTGAATGATAGACATATACTTTCTCACATGGTGTAATTCGGCATTTGTAGTGTCCAAGAGATGCAAGATGCAGTTGGTGTGTTTTTTGAACCAAATCATCAATGCTTGTATCATCAAAAACATACTTATCAACAAACATTTCACATACTTTTAGCAACCATTCTCCTTTCTCTTGCTTAGTAGCTGAGCTGTTTGGTAAGAGGAATGGCACCAATGAAGGCTGATCTGTTTATAAGAAAATATGAAAATAATCACTATTATATTGTGATGCATTGAATGCCAATACTTATCCTTTGACACGTAAAATTGTATGGTGTTAGACAGTAAAATTAAAGTAGTGCGTATTGGGGTGCAATATAACTCAACAGGTTAAATAGTCATTGGACGATAGTATGATTAACCCATTGAGGGCCAGCACTCTCCCTTTGATGGGTAAAATTGTCTGGCAATAGACAGAGCAAAATAATAAAATAGTGTACATCGGCCGAGACTAGACTTACATGCATTGGGGGATTAGAGGACCTTACAACTAATAAGCGGGCTAAATTAGTGCTAAATGATAGCTATATTATGTACAAAACACAAGTTTCTACTGCCCTCAGAGTTTTTCATTCCTGCCATTTGCATAAATGATGTACATATATGAGCAGCAACTTCACATGTATGGAATTCCTTGTACTCATTGTACTTCTTCTTCGGACCTGCAGCAGCATTAGTCTTTCCTGTCCTATTCATGCTAGCTTTCGTTGTTCTGAGCTCTGCTCATGATTCAGCTTTGTAGAACGTATCATACTCCATCTAGTATATTAACAATTACATGTACAATTGGCTGTTTTTATACCAGAGAGAATTATTATATCTGTTTGGACAAATTTGAGCGTTAATGTATCCAGACAGATAATGCATCTCTATTATAAAAACAGTTATTTCTTCGATGTTTGTGATGTTACTCTGAGTGTATATCCACACCGGGCAAGCTTGAAAAATATGCCTGACCACGGTGGGAATCGAACCTATGACATTTGGAATACTAGCCCAATGCTCTACCAACTGAGCTACGCGGTCAGATCGGTTCGAGTATGTGATATTTAGAAGGTCGTATGTTCGATTCCCACCGTGGTCAGTCATATTTTTAAAGCTTGCCCGGTGTGGATATATATTACACTCATAGGAACATCACAAATATCATATTGACAAGAGTACATAACACCAACACAGACAAAAATCATAGTTATTCCTTTCTTGATATTTATTAGTCTTATGAATAAGTAAAACATAAAAACATATTACCCTGGGCCCCTGGCTGTATATTAATTAAATAGAGAATAATACATGGGTGCGCGGAAATACCAGATTTATTTTGAGTGTTGTACATGATATCTCACGAGTGAGTGCAGCAACGAGTGAGATATCATGTTCAACATGAGAAATAAATCTGGCATTTCCAAGCACCCATGTATTTTTCTGTTTATTATACAGGGTGTATAAAAAAAAACTGAACAGATTTGAAATTGGTCTCAATTTCGTAAAACACCTATTTGTATCCGGTTTTTTACATATATAGCTTCTTTGGGTACTTATAATGTAGAATAATGAAAAAAATTTCTTGAACTCAAATTTTGTGAACCAGGGGGGGGGGTGTCTTTTCCAACAAACTAAAAATGGCTCGCGCACAAAATTTAAAAGTTGTAATCATATTTTGAATTAATAGATGGAAAATTTGTCGGGTTTTTAATTATTGTACAAAATTTCAGACAATTTGGTTTAGTTTAAGCCCTTTAACTATTCACGCAAAGTTACATTTTTCCTAAAAATCAGCTATTTGCATGCTTAATTAATGCAAAAGCCTAATTTGCATATGTTAGCAATATGCAAATTAGGCAAACGCATTAATTAAGCATGCGAAATGCTGATTTTTTAAAATAAAATGAATAGTTAAAGGGCTTAAACTCAACCAAATTGTCTGAAATTTTGTACAGTAATTAAAAACCCGACAAAGTTTCCATCTATTAACTCAAAATATGATTACAACTTTTAAGTTTTGTGCGCGAGCCATTTTTAGTTTTTTGGAAAAGACACACCCCCCTGGTTCACAAAATTTGAGTTTGAGAAATTTTTTTCACTATTCTACATTATAAGTACCCAAAGAAGCTATATATATAAAAAACCGGATGCAAATAGGTGTTTTGTGAAATTGAGAGCAATTTCAAATCTGTTCAGTTTTTTTTTATACACCCTGTATAAAGGACAGTCTTTGAAAAGCGATAATTTTTAAAGAAAAGGGATAATTGAAAAGCGATAATTTTCACATGTGAGATATCATGAATAATCTCACATGTGAGATTATCACTTTTATCAGTGCTCGAAATCTCTATAAAGCACAATACTTTATATAATAAAGTCCAATTATACTGACCTCATACAACGTAACCTTTGCATGCCAATCTGCAAATTCAGGGACAAGCCCCTCAAGACAATCAATGTCATTATCTCCATCTTGGAAAGTCCACTTCACATTTCGTGCACGTTCATCAAACAGTTGGTCACCATGAAATGGTATTTTTGACACAACATTCTGTGAACCACTGTGACAGTCACTTGATGATGTCTTCGGAACATACTTATCTTGGTTTGTGATGAGTAATTGAGCCATCTCTCCAGATATGTTGGGGTTAATGAATTCCATCCCAAGACAGCACTATTATGAAAAAATATAAAAAAGTATATAGAGAAGAACAGATGGTAAGCCCCTTCCCCCTACAATTAGAGAGCCTGTTCGCAGGCTACCGTACAATGGGCCTATATTAATTTAAGTCCTGTTTGAGATAGGGCTTGTTAGAGAGATGAGAGTTTTCCAAAAATGTAGGGATAATAGCACGACAGACACAACAGAATGATGTGAAATATATTCCACAGTCAATTAATGAACCTATTCAAATACACAATTATGTATAATCCTTGTTACGATTTAGGGCAGGTGATTTCTTTAACTTTTCTAAAAAAATGGGGGACAGATTAGGAAATTTGTGGCGCTCATAATGGCTCTTGTATTTGCATATTCTTTGCTGATCATATTAGTGATATGTCAAGGAACATGAAAACTATAAACTTACTATATTTGACTTCTCACTGACTTCATTTGTGTATCTATGGGGTATGTGATGAACAACAACATTCTGCAATGACTTGAAAGCTGGGAGATAATTTGTTACTATTCGACTCACAATGACTTTCAGTGTTTTCTTTAATCTAGCCTGGACATCTGGTGTTGGGAGAAGTTCTGTCAGTTGTATTTGATTAGCTTTCATTATGGGTTGAGAATTGTCAAGACATGGATCAACAACACTATCTCTAATGGCATATTGGTGAGTCCAATGTATTGATCTATTTTCATTCATTGTGGACTGGATTCTGGCATACATTTGATGATCTATATTATCTCCAACCAACCTGTGAAATGTAAAAATGTTTTAAAAAATATCTTTTGTCATTAAATTTCAAATGAAGGCTAGTATTCAATTTAAAACATCTATATAGAGGACATGCAAAGGTGGAAAAACTATTATGTGAATTTAATTACAGGTGTATAGTTTAGTTTTGGTTTAGTTTTGGATGGACACTATATAAAAAATACAATTTTGAACAAAAACATAAATGGATAATTGTTTAATTAAATAATACATACATTAATTATTTAATGTATGGAAATAGAGAGGTTGAATGGGGGTGGTCACTTGATTCTCTTTAACTACTAGCTTTTTCTGACATCCTTCCCTACGTAATTATAAATATAAGTATCAAAGTTGATGTGTGTACACAAATTTTACACAAAAACTTACTTGAAGTAGGGGACATCAACTACCTGGTACTTTTTCAAGGTGCATTTAAGTACTTCATCAGTAAAATCAGTTAAGGCTCTCCTGGTCTTTTCAGCTTCCATAACTTGCATTACTGTTGACCAAACTTCTGGGTCATAGGAACTGTAATCTTTTAATATTTCTTTATGCAAGTCTAATACCACATCTAAATCCATGTCATCCTCTTGAAGTTGAACTTTTGGGAGCTGCTTCTCTGCAATTTCAGTCAATAAGTGCAAAACTTGAAGATCTGATTGCTTCTCCTCAATCTCCTTCTTCCAAGAAAACACTTTGGAGTCGAAGTTTTCACCCAAACAGCGTTGGAGATGAAGTATCATATTTGGGGACATGCAAACTCCTAGCCTTAAGAGATAAAAGAACATGCACAAGTTATTATTATTTAATTTGTTTATTAAAATGTATCATATTATAAGGGAGTGGTGATAATTTATTGGGAGGGGGGTTGGTAATACCCTGGTTGCCAGAGGTTCTGTATCTTTCGCCTTATTCCCGCTCGTATATTTATTTTACGCGAGGCGAAGAGAACCTCTGGTGGCACGCGATACAAATCTCTCTTCCTTTGGTACAAAATTTGTACCAAGCACATGATTGGTTAGTTATAATTAGCAGTCAGATGAAGTGATGTGATTGGCTAGACAAAAAAACCTGTTTATAAATCTCAGAGACATGATGTAAACAAAATACAGAAATAATACGAACGTATTAAAATGCTTTACTCAGTGTGGGTTATTTGAGTTTAACTTAGTTTGTTCCGCTGTAAAAAGACTTTCTGCGCTGGAGAAGAGCTGCAGGGCCATCGCGGCATGACTTGGGTCGACGGCATGACATGTTCACTCTATTACAGTAGTAATATTTGTAAAATATAAAGTGTCGGTCACTTGCTTTATATCGTTCAAGGTTTTAAATTTTGGCAATTCTTTGACTTTAAATTAATAGTTATTAATATGATTTATTTTGCCAATATTTTTCCGTTGTCTGTTAAGGACAACCATACTGGCTCCGTTGCACACGTATATATAAATATTTATATGTTTATATTCTTTCACTTTTGACGCTATAAATAGACCTAATACAAACGGCATTCCACAATCAGTAAGTTTGCTTTGTGCGTTACGAGAATAATCTACATGTTTCTAATGAATAATCTACATGTTTCGGCTGCTTATTTTTAGTATTTTACACATGCAAGGCTGTCTGAAGAGAGCTATTTTGGTAGTATGACAAACCCGGAAGTTTAAAAACGTCACAAAATATAAAACCGGTTTTGCAAGTTCTCAAACGGCAACGTCAGCATGGAAGAGAGATTTGTATCGCGTGCCACCAGAGGTTCTCTTTGCCTCGCGTAAAATAAATATACGAGCGGGAATAAGACGAAAGATACAGAACCTCTGGCAACCAGGGTAGGTTGGTAAATGAGAGGGGGGCAAACAAAGTTTTACCCTTTTATAATTGCAAATGTGGAAGGGGGTCAAAAATGTTTTCAATCCTTATTTTCTCCATTTACCCCCCCCCCCCATAAATGACCACTCCCTAATTATTCTAACATTCTGTGACATGAGATCCCTATGACATGTATGATGTAAATTAACTTTTTTGCATTCATTTACCTGTTCAAACGAATAATGTCCTGATGCGAGGTCCCACTGTGATAGAGAATACTTGATATTCTGTAAGCCAAAGCAGACAGACATTTGTTTCGAATACGAGCAATAATTGATGACGCTAGAGCTAGAGAATTCAAATTTACTTCGTCCACATCCACTGAATCACCATCCATATCTAAACCACAAGCTCCTCGAATGCAAGTACTCCATACAGGGCATTTCACTTGCAGTTCTCTCACAAGCAACCTGCTCGAGAATGCAATAAGCTCTTCTGGTGAACGACCCTTCAGTAAACAGTCAGAAGTTGAATATTCTTGAAACTCTTTGTTTAACACTCGCCACAAAGATTTAGACAGTTCTGGTTGTAATTCAGTATGCTTGAACACAGTATTAGATACGACTTTCCATTTTTTCAGCGCTATGTTTTTGACAAGGAGAATACTTTCTTCACTTGATGGAACACGAACATGTATCTCCCCATTCGGCCATAAAATTAACACGTTAACTTTGGTTTTATCGCCGGTCATATCGTCAATATTGAGAGCTTGATCGACCTCATCACGAACTGCATTAGTTTTATCTTTCTTGTTTTTTTGATGTTTGAGAATACGTTTGGGGTTTTTTCTCGCATTCGGACTTCTTTCTGGCGTAGAAACTGACATTGGAAGAGCTCTCTTCGTACGATTGCGAACAGGTGTTGAAGGCACGGGCCGTATGTTTTCTTTGTTATTTTCGCACGATGTATTTGGATTTTCTACATTAATTGTGGAAAGCAGCAAGGAAAATCCTTCACAAGTCTTCCTTATTTTAGATGCACAAGTTCTACACAGTCTGTCAGAAAGATTAGCATTCTGCTGAGCAACTATCCCAACACTGTGAAGTAAACGCGCCAAAATTTCACCTTCAAATCCTTTCTTTTTCGAAGATTGAAATAAATTCTCGGAAGACACAGACTTATATGTCTCCCCGTAACAAATTTTTAGTGACAATTTACAGCATCTACAATAATCGTTAACTTTTTCTTCCAAACGCTTTCGACCAACACATTTACCAGCTTTTTTCGGAGTTATTTTTACAGATGACATTTTGATTTTGGTTTCGCTTTTGCCTGCGGGTTTTCCCTAGCAGGTTTTCCCTGCTGGTTTTCCATCGAAGTGCTAATACTTCCGGTGTGTTATGATTGGTTAATTTTATTCACTCGTACGTCATACGATTTAGGGGCGGATATTCAAATTCATTAGTCATCGATGCAGGCTCTCAATTCAGCCTGAGAGCCTGTTCGCAGGCTAGCTGCCTTCTCGTGTGGCAGACTTGCCTGTCTTGATTGTGCGATGACATGGTGCAGAAGACACACATCGCGACTTTACTGTGCGTCGACACAAAGTTCTCGAGGCTATGTTATGGTTAACTCATTAACGCGCAAACTGTTACAATGTTTCTACCCCCGAAGTGGACAAGCAAAATGGCGAATACATGATTGAATTCAAGAGGTTTTACCAAAATGGCAATATCTCAGAAACAATTGCATGAAAAAATCTGGTCTTTTCAACCAAATATTATTGATATATGATTGACCAAATTTAGTTTAAATGAACTTGCATACCTATATATATCATTAGTTTTTTCAATGAGAATTTTTATTTGTAAAGCAGTGACACTTAGTTTTTCATGTCACTCATCACCTAAAGGGGCAATATCTCCATAAATTTATATAAAAACCAAAAAAAAAATTATTCACTAAATTAGTACATATCTATTTTATAACCAATTTTCATCTATTGGGATATGAATTAGAAAATGATCAAAAATTATAAAATATACTCCTTTGCTTTTTTGGGCAAGATGTTTACAACATGAAATTTAGAACAGTAACTAAGTGTTCAAATTCAACAAAGTGTGCAAGCCAAAACACAGTGCTTGTACATCTTTCAAGTTTTTAATTACTTCAAATATATTTATAAGGACATATGGTACTAGAATCTATTTATTTTCAATATAAACCAAGGATGGGAAGGTGAGAAAATAGGAATTTTCTGAGGTGTTTTTAACACAGACAATGACAGCCGACATTTTCAAAGGCAAATTGTGGTGACAAAACCAAAAGCTATTAACCTCTCTACTCAAAGCACTGAAAAACACCATAAAAAGAAAAACATTTTAAACATACATCAGGTAAGACTTTTAGCTCAATTTTCTCATGTTTTTGTTGGAAAAGCAACGGTTTTTAGCCAAAATTATTTTACGCGCCAATGTAGGCTGCTATAAAATGTCAGACACATGTTCTCTTTTGAAGTCTGGCTCTTCAAAACAATCGCTTTTTTTTAGTTTGAAATAAGCCTTCATAAGGACTATTGTGTAGAAATGTTATCTATATACTCACATGAAAAAGATAACCTAATATTCAGGTATTCCACATAGCTATAAAAAAGGTGAAATAAGGACCTTCATCTTTGGTTGTTTGTCAGACGTGAGAAACCACAAAAGTGCCATTTTGTTGCACATGCTATTTTATAAAATAAACACCTCGAAACCATAAACTTTTAGTTCGGAAAATTACAAAGTTTTCCATACATAGACAGTATTAAAAATGTTCCAGTGAAGCGATTTCATGATAAATAAGTGAGCAATGGGCCCAAAAGAACTGCTAAGGTTAGTTTTTGTTAGGACTTCAATTTCATGGCTTCCCGCAAAGGAAGCCATTTCAGAGAGAAGCGACATTTTGCCAAACAACCGTCGCGACCTATTTTGATAACTTTTTCTTCTGATTGAATGTGTAGTTACTAGAAAATGATGTTGATCAACATTATTATCTGCTTTATCGATTTAAAGTTTTATAGGGGATATAAAAACCAGTAAAAAGCATTTTGAAAGCTTTACAACTGAAGTGCGGACTTTTTGAGAATTTGCACGCGGCAAGCAAGTGCGTTTATTCAATACACTTATTTTAAACCACAATATGTCTGAAACGAGTTGTCATTTTAAGACTAAATTGATGAAAATAGATATAACAGTGACTTTGGAATATCCTACTTATTCAGTGTAATTTAATACTTGAAGTATTCTTGCCAAAAAGGTCAAAAAAGGTCACGTACGCACAATCTGGTGTCGTTTGAAACATACTTTAGCTAAAATAACAACTTGAACAAGAAGACCAAAAATGGGGTCACGTTTACCGCGAAATTGTGCCCAAATTTGCATAAACAGTTCGTCTAAAAAGATAACTTTAAACTAGATTCAACCAACATTAATGCGGTCGAATTTTGTGAGTGTTTGATCGCATATTTCTACTCAAAAATACCCTTTAAAAAATCGTATCTGCTCACTTGTGTTCTGTGTTCATCTTTCTTGTGATTTCCGACTTCTATTTTTAATAAAGTTCAGAGAAATCCTCATCTCTTTGGCTGAAAATCTCACGCAAGGTTCACAGAAAAACTTGGCCCAAAACGTCAATACATTCGGTTTCCTTTCATGCCAAATTTTCGTTGTATATCATCCGAAAACCTCTTTTTCGCTTTTAAAACTTGCTGTAGAATCCTTCTTTGCAACAATATCTCCATTATTCATTATTTTTGAAAAACTAAGGTTTTAAACTTGAAAAACTTTGCAAGTTTCTGACCAATCTTCTTGCATGATACACTGTTGAAAAGCTCGAATTTCACGTTCTAGTTTCGTATCCATTGCTAGGCAACCCAATAAATATCATGCCAGCAAGTTGAGGTGTCATTTGAGGGCGCATTGTCTGTTACCCACTTGTCAATCTCAGGGCGAATACGGGCGCATTGGGCGTTAATGAGTTAAACAGGTTGCTAATATCGTTAGGACCCGTAGTGCTATTATTATAATCAATGCCATCGAGTGTTGCTGGAACGGATGTATTTTTCGAGTTTTTGGCTAGGATAGTATTTATACCCCTCCAAGTTTCTCGCATATTCCCTTTATTATTGGAAAAGAAATTATTATGGTAGCTAGCTTTACAACTCTTTATTTTGCTGTTGACATTATTTCTAGCTTGCTTGTACGCAGTCCAATCAGCCTCATTTCCCGTTATAGTGGCAACCCCTTTTTGAGATGATCGCGCTGATACATATGATGTTTTAAAACTGGTGATAACCACGGTGAAAAAGAGTTGCGAATACGTTTCGTTTTCATGGGAGAATGTCGGTCAGCGATTTGTATAAACAAATCACACCATTTCTCCCAGGCAACAATAAGATTACCAATCATTAGAAAATTGTCCCACGGGACCTGGTTGATATCATTTAGAAAATTGTCATAGTTGAAATGTTTAAATGAGCGATACTTGACGTACTTAGGTGTAGTTTTTGGAATAACAAACTTTCTTGATGCATAAATGACATTATATCACTTATCCCAATATTAGAAACCCCAACATCATTATATTTGTCAGGTTCATTTGTGAGGATAAGGTCAATAGTCGTAGCACTATTTTTAGTTACCAGTGTCGGCCCAAAAATGGTTTTACTTTAGGTTTTCAGACTTCGACAGTTAGAAATTCAAGTGCATCATGTTCTAAGTCGTGTCTGACCACAAAATCTATTGTATTTCTCAAATAGATTGCCACACCGCCACCATGTCTATTACGATGTTTTGTCAAAACGGAATAACCATCTATATGATATTCTGCGAGGTCTATAGTGTCGTCAAGCCGTGTTTCATTCAATATAAGGATATCAACATATTTAGTGGCCATATGAATCCGTAGCTCATCAATATGCTTTATTACGCTTGCAATATTCAGGGAAACAATTTTAAATCCCTTTAGTTTTGGTAAACCCAGCTGAAAATTTGGCTTATAACTAATATTAGTATTTGGCGTGTTTACAGCCAATATAAGCTGAGTCACATGAGAATTGGGTTGACCAGGATCATCACTCAACATGGGAATTTGGTCGCTAACTACAGAGGCCTCTACACAACATAATCAATTTTCGTAATAGTCTATATAATTACTAGTAAGTATTGAATTACCATTTTGAATTAGGTGGATACCTCCGCGATTAAGTTCCTTGACACCAACTTTGCTATGGGCTATATAGCCATATCCATGTTGATGACATAGCTTCCTCAAGGCTTGTTGGTGGCTTTAGCTTTGGCTTTTAGGTCGGCGTCGGCTCTTGTTATGAGTTCTGAGATAGAAACCTTAGTTGACTCCATTTGGACGACTTTAGCCAACTTTATCAAACTCTCGGCGATGGCTTTGGGCTCTTTGATTCTGAGGTCATTTGTTCCACAGTGGATTGCTATCTCAGCAGGAGCATTTTGCATCGTGGGCTTCACATAATTGTACATGTCATCAACCTTCGCGCCCGAAAATGATTTAACCACGAAACTCGTTTTGCTTCTTGCTCGTTTTGCTTTTCGCCTTTACTTTGTCAGTTTTGGTTTCGACTTTCAAAGCGTTATCGCCACAGCAGAGCCTAAGTGATGTTAAGAGACTCGCTTTTTCTTCTTTTAAAATCAGTATTTCTTGTGACTGGGCTTGGTTTTGTTGTTCAGCCAGACACAGCTTTTGTTTCAGATTAGCATTTTCTGCTGTTAGTCGTTGGGCTTCAACAGCAGTCATTGTTTGCCACAGATTGCTGTTTGGAGGAAGTCCAAAGTCTGTTCTTAAGCTTGCCAATTTAATTTTTACTTCGTCCTCAAATTCGCTGATCTTTGGTTCGAAGACTGATTGTTGAGAAAGTTCATTTAGCTCAGCATTTAGCTCTTGAACTGTAGAATCTTTCGGATTTTGTGTCATTTCGTTGTCGGTTTCAGCTTCTGAAAATGATTGGTACATACTGCCTTTATTATTTTCCAAAGTTGATTCATCAAGGTTTATTGTAGACTGGGTAGGTGGAGCATTGCAATCTTCCCCACCATCTTCCTTCCCGGCATCATCGTCTTTCACCCCGACATCATTATTTACAAGCATGGCGGTTAATAAGCGTGTCAATAAGACTTGTTTTGTCCCTTTGTGATCAAGACCTCTGATGTTTAGTTAAAGAATTGGATATAATTGCAGATGCATCCTTAAGTAGCCTTCCACTAATATGATCCAATCCAATAGCCTTGTTAGTTTTTAATGTATTCAGTTGTTTTAATACATAATCCTGGTCAATTGTTTGTCAAAGGCAAAACAGGCAATGTCGGGATTTACTGAGTATGGAAAGTAAAATAGTGTGCTATTTTAGTTTTCAACAACTTTCTCATTTGAAACCAATCGTAGTAAAGTGTAGCTTGAAAGCTTCGGCGATTGATTTTGAATCAGTTTCAACTGCACCGCCCTCGGAAATAACACAGGTGGGTCTTGAAACGTTCTTATGAGCAGTAATTTCATCCATAGTTTTCCATAAACGTTCAGAATGACTTTTGTTTTCTTGAATGATATTAAGATAATAGTCCGACTTACACTTTTTGACTTGTTTGTTGACATAGACTTTCAGCTTTCTATACATTTCCCAGTGGTAAGATGACTGCGATTTAATTGCTTTCCGGTGATGGTAATCTCTATCGCGCATAGCTTGGTTTAAGTTTGAAGTCATCCACGGAATTTGTATTCCTTTGACGCAAGTTTGTTTTAATGGAGCATGTCGGTTTGCAATATTGAGAAACATTTCGTTCCAGCCGTTTACCGCAGAATTTATATTATCTCTATTAGTCACCAAACCCCAGTCCACTTCTTTCAAGTCATTAATAAAAGCGTTTTGTCATATGTCCTATAAGAGCGGTACTCTATAATTCTCGGTGGACCTTTACTAACACCAGATTTAGCCGTGCAGTAAATTAATGAGTGATTGCTAATTGCACAAGGGATTACGCCACTTTCTACGGTACAATGGTAATGATTTGTAAATATCAAATCAATGGTCGATTGGGTTAACTCGGAAACTCTAGTTGGAATCTTAATTAGCTGTTCAAAATTATGTAAATGTGCAAACGTCTGCAACTTTTGTTTGAACTTATAAACAGGGTCTTTCTTTGTCGCTGAAAAATCAATATTAAAATCCCCCAACCAAAATGATTATTTCAGCATTATGTGGCACTCTTGCCAAGCTAAGGTTTAGTTCGTTTATTAATGAATCACAGCAACAGGTTGGAGGTTTATAGACAGAGCAAATAAACTGCGTCTTGCAATTAGGGTGACATACCTCAATCCAACAAATTTCAGAATCGTCATTAGATAAGTCTTTGCGATGCAAATATGGAATGCCTTCACTAACAAATATTACTGTACCACCACCAGACCGGTCGTCGCGATCTTGCCTTAACCAACGTATATCCCGAAATGTTTACTTCTGAATCCAAAATCGACTGACTAAGCCATGTTTCCGAGATGGTAAAAATATCAAAAGACTTCTCCTCAACGAGCCTTCTAAGAGTATCCATTTTGTTTATCATGCTTCTCATGTTGAGATGGGCCACCTTAAAGCCACGAAGTCGTGGACGCTCGTTTGTATCGTTGGTGCTGTATCTAACGACAGGTCCGGGGCATAACTCGATATTGCCAGCAAGGATAAGTAATAACTTCAGGGCATTCAGGCAGCGATTTGTTTGTATCAAAAACTTCTTCATAATGAGACGAATAACATACTGAGTTACTCCCAACTAAGGAAGGCTTTTTTATAGTAAATATAATAAAAACTGCAAGAGCAAACCGGAACATGACCCCCACCATGACTCACTCAGTCTCACTGTTAGACGGTGAACCTTATCCAAACTATGGATCGTCTGTTTGACATGATGAATTCACGAAACCACTTTGGAAAAGGTTTTAAGGGTTAAGGCTAGTGAACAAGCATATCTGGCTACCATTTCTAAACAAAGCTCATGAATACCTTAGTATCTGCAAACAACAGAAGGAGTATTTCTACCACTGTGAAGGTAGCTGCAGATTGGGCATCGCATGCAACTGTATTCAATCATTAAATTATTTGAACTCCCTTTTTCTGGCTACTTTTAAGGTATCTTTTACTGTAAATTAAGTATGCTAGATTAATTTCGACATTTGACGAAATTCAGCAAATGTGATAACGTTAAAATTTAAGTATAATGTAGATATGTCATACTGCTTTCACAAGTAATGACAATAATAACATGGCACAAGCACAAAAACCTCCGATTTTTCATGATATGTAACACTTGTGAAAATACACATATGTTCCAGTATACATTATTCATTTTTACCAGTGCTCTCGAAGGTGTATGAGCATCTAGTGTTGAGACAAATGGCGGCCTTCATGAATAAGGAGGATGGTGTTCTCAAGGACTCGGTCAGCGCGTATCGAAAAGGACATACAACTACATCAGTATTGCTAGCAATGAAGGACGATATATTGCGCGGAATGAAAAAAGGCGAAGTGACGATGGCTGTACTGGCTGATTTTTCGAAAGCTTTCGATACAGTCGACTACGGAGTTCTATTAAAGAAATTGCATCGCTTGGGCTTTTCTAAATCCTTTCTGCTATGGCTCTCTAATTATCTGACGGGACGAAAACAATTTGTTCAGATTAATGACAGGAGCTTGCAAGAAGTCGACATGTCTTTTGGTGTCCCCCACGGATCAATATTGGGACCTGTATTGTTTAATCTCTATGTAAATGACTTGAGCGATGGTCTAACTGAAGTAACATCCTATCAATATGCAGACGACACGTCATTATACACACAGGGAAAGCCTACCGAAATAGAACGTTGCGAAAGTCAACTGCAAACAGCCATGGATTATTTGTCATCCTGGTCAAATGAGTGTAATCTCGCCTTGAATCCAAAAAAGACCAAAACCATGTTATTTTCAACACAACTCGCTAGAACTCACAATTAATGGTGAATAGCCAGTCAGTGGAAAGAATTGCAAGCACTCGTCTACTTGGCACTGAACTTCAGGAGAACTCGAAATGGAATAACGAAATTAATTCTAAAATCTCTAGTTGCTATGGAAACTTGTCCGTTTTAAGGAAACTTAAAAACTTAGCACCTTTTAAAGTGAGAAAGCAGCTTGCCGAAACACTCATTCTGCCGAAGATCGATTACAACGATGCTGTATCAAATCCAATCCCAGATTATTTGATGAAACGTCTGCAGCACGTCCAACTGGCAGCAGCAGGATTTGTTTTGGGACGATTTGCTACCATGCCGGAAATCTTATCCTTAGGCTGGCTTCCGGTTGTCGAATGCAGGGAGTTTAATTTATCAAAACTAACTTTTAAAGCATTGTATGAACAGCAATGGCCTTCCTGTTTAAAACTTGAGAATTATACACCTAATAGGGCACTTCTTTCATCAACAGAACATAAATTAAAGGTTCACTTGGAAGATGGCACATTTCAGACCTGCTGCGCTACAGTATATAACACTTTACATGAGGACATTAGATCATGCACTAATTATTTTAGCTTTATAAAATTAGCTAAGGCTTATTTTAGCAACAGAAAGACTCTGAATTGTATATATACATATTTGTATAGAATTGTATATATATATATTTGTAGTTAAAGCAGTAGTTAGTTTTATTGTAATTAGCATATGAAGAGCAACTTTGTGGATTATGCTAATAAACCTTTATTATTATTATTAATATTATGGCAAAATTTACGGTTACGATTAATATAAATTGATTAGTGAAGAGAGTTACCCTCTTTCCAATACAGAACAGAATTAGAGCAGAAAACATTTCTTGTTATATGAGATGTATCATCACTGTGCAAAACCATCAAGCATATTGTCAGTATAAAAGGTCCATGTTCAGCCACCATTTAACTGGAATCTCAATTGCATAGACCACTTTGGCGGTTTTGTGTTAAGTGGAAACACGTGCTCTGCGAAATTGGAAACTCGGACAAACATGAGGGAGTGTAATACAAATGCTATTCAAAATACACAAATGTTTCAGCCAAATAATAGATAAATGTGCTCGCTTTCATCATGAAACAACAGTCAAAATGGAAAATATGTCATGAGAAGAGAAATTCAAAGCCATGAAGCTGCCGGAGCTCAAAGCGCACTTACAAAATCGAAGAATTACTGTTAACAACTTACCTCAAACCCGGACTCGTAGCTATTGCTTGTGCCATCGAAGAAATGAGTTTTCCATTGCTTTTTCAAGTCGGTGAAGCCCAAGACCAGTTAAATCTAAGCCGTCGTTTGAAAGTTCACAATTTTCAGCTGCCTGATCCTTTTAAAATAAATGTTTTAAACGATTTTAAACATTCTCGCCTTGTTTGATATATTTAATCATCTCATATATCACTCGTCAGAATATGACAAGCAAAGTCTGGCAGCTTATAAATATCTTTTACATATTGTATGCATTTTAATGTTGCGTTTTATATGCTAGACGGAGATTAGGATTATTTATTCTCCGTACTAGTTATTGCTGATACAGGGTCTAGATGTTCTTCAGTAGAACCATTTTGTTGGACAAAATGAAGGCAATACATATATAGAACTATCCTTTGTGCGTGCATTAATACGAATTAACAGCGTCTTCTATCTTACAAGATGAACATTACCGCAAGGCATGGCTGAAAAGTGTTCTTGATTTTAACAAAAGCATTTAGTGTTCACAATAAAGTTTTCAACAATTAGAAAAAGATTAGCATTTGTATGTTGTGAAACGTTGGGATGACCGTTCAAAAACCATGATAAATGCATTTTGCTTGTTGAATTTAACCATTTGGAACCAAGTAAATGTGCAGCGGAAGCAAGAGCAGCGCAATGAGCAGCATATCAGCCACAGTCAAAGAAGAAGTGACTGACAGTCTCACTGGTTGAACCACAAGAACATAATTGGCGATTGCACGCAATTTATTAAGAACAAATAATGATTTAAGGTACAATGAAACAGGCAAAAACGGGTACGAAGTATGGAGGCATAGCGATTACCAATGTAGAACAATGTATTTGGATCGTCATGCCAAATTTAGAGATTAGTTTTAAAATGAAGTAAAGATTCAGAAGTTTCAAACATTTAATGGCAAGCTATTCCAAAGTTTAATTGAAGAAATAAATGGCAAAAGATTTTTTGAAGACGTTCTGTTCTAGCAAATGGAACAAGAGGTCATCATGTGTCTGTAGCATATAAGCTGATTTCGTGCATATGTGTTCGAGATGCAATTCAAGTAGGTAGGGTGCTGCTAAATTATTCAAAATTTTGAACATCATAAAAAGTTTATGATCAGAGCATCTGGATCTGAGCTTAACCCAAGCAGATTTCCGACAACCCCATTTGCACTTGAAAAGGCTGTTTTAGCCCTCTTTTAGGTCAAAATTTCCGAAAATTCATCATTTTCCATGAAGGAGGGGGTGGCGGTCGCCCCCACCCCACCAAGATTTTTGCCACTGCAATGATCTACAGTAAATTGGGGCACAAAAGCTCAGAACCGTCAAAATGACAAGGATTAATAAAGTGTACTAATTACCTTTTTATATATTAATGCCGGACTACATGTAGAATTACCTTGTGCAACATCTATATTTATAGCCAGCCTTTGTTTCGAAACTCAACTGTACTGTGCAGTATTTCATGCTCTTTCCAACAATGTACACTAAATTGGGGCAAAAGGTCAGAACTGTCGAAATGACAAGGATTAATAAAGTGTACTAATTACCTTTGTTTATATATTAGACATATTAATGCCAGACTACAGAATTACATTGTGCAAACATCTATTTTAATAGTAAGCGTTTGTTTTGAAATTCAACTACATTGTGCAGTATTTCATGCTCTTTCCAATGATGTACAGTAAATTGGGGCACAAAGCTCACCAAGGTTGAAACGGCAAAGATTAATTTGATGCTAATTGCTTTTGTTTATATACTACATGTCAGACTTTAGAATTACACAGCACAAACCTCTATATTCAGCAAGTGTTTGTGCAAAATGTGCCTCCCAATCCCCAATTGTTCCGAAACTCACCTATATTGTGCAGTATTGCATGCTCTGTCCAATGATGTACAGCAAGTTGGGGCACAAGCTCACAAATGTCGAAATGACAAGTTATTGTTATTACTCGTGAAAGCAGTATTGACATATCTACATTATACTTAAATTTTAACGTTGTCATGTTTGCTGAATTTCATCAAATGTCAAAAGTTTATTAATCTGTCAGATATAATATTGAACAAGTAAATGCAGTGTCTTAAATGTTCAATTTCTCCCACAAATAAGCCTCCTTTCCTATTTTTTGCACATCATACCATAGAGATGTTGCATTGCTCATGTTCCTGCTTATTTACAGTAAAAAATACCTTAAAAGTAGCCAGAAAAAGGGGTTCAAATAATCTACTTTTGAATGTGAGGCCCAATCCACAGCTACCTTCACAGTGGTAATATTTTTTTACTGCACCAAATGAGACTCCCACCATTCTGGGATATCTCCTAATGATCAGAGTTGTCAAGTCATTGTTTGAGGAACTTGTTGAAAGAAAAAATGCTCCACTTAAGTACATAATTACTTACACGTTTACCCAAGATTACCTTCAGTTATTTGTCTGTGCTATAAGTGCACTAAATGGAAGAAATAACAACCCAACATTCAACCAATTTAAGGCTGCATATAGAAGACTACTCAATCTAAGCAACTATAATTTTGTTTGTTCAAACCGAGTAAATAAAAGAGGAGGAGGTTTAGTTATTTATATGTCAAATGATCTACACTACAGGTGGTCTGAGCCCAAAAGAGCCAATGATACATAAAAAGTAGCCAAATCCGGCAAAAAGAAGCCAAAATCAAAATTTAGAGTGGCGACTGGGGCTAATCTAATGAAACTAATTATATATCCATAAAAACAATCGCTAATACATTTATATTTGACATAGTGACTAAGAATTCCAACTAAAACTTTATTCAGTTATCAAGATACCAGTAAAGACGTAGGGCAAACTGCGTAAGCCCGGGGAGAGGGTACGAATTCCGATCGGATATTTACGTATATCCGGAATCCTGGACAATGTGATCGAACATAGCAGAGTTCATAACTAACTTTTACTGATAGATGGCAGACTATTTTTGAAAAGTTGCTTATTTCATTATTTATTCAAAAAGAAGCCAAAAAGAGCCAAAAAATAGAAAGCCAAACGAAATTTTTAGTGGCCAAATGAAATCAAAAGAAGCCAAAATCGAGAAATTTGGCTCTTTTAATGCCAAACTGGCAACCCTGCTACACTACAAACTATGTCCTGACCTAAATATAAACGAGGATGGAATAATTGAAATGCTATTCATTGAAGTAATTTCAACCACTGGAGAAAATACTATCCTTGGTAATTTCTATACACCACCAAGTGGTAATTTTGAAATGTTTGAAAATAAACTGAAGAAATACTCTCAGAAGTTGATAAAACAAAAAAGATAACATATTTGATGGGAGATTTTAACATCTATCTCCTGAAAACTGATAATTGTGACTATTCAAATAGATTCTGTGAGCAACCTTTCACCTCATCTTTTTTTCCACTTATTAACAGACAAACTAGAATCACCCAGCACACTGCAACGTTGATTGATAATATTTTTACCAATGACCTTGAACAGATAGAATCTGGCATAAATGGTTTAATTTTCTCTGACAATTCAGCTCATCTTCCAATTTTTCATACATCATCCTTATCAACAAATCGAAAACAGTAAAAACACGATACAAAAGAATTATCAACAATGACAGTCTCGCTTCATTTTTAGTATCAGTCAAAAATATATCATGGTCACACACGTTTCAAACAAATGATCCTTGTCAATCCTACGACATTTTTCATAATAATTTAAAAGCAGCAATTGAGAAGAATTTTCCTTTTGTAAAAGTGAAAAACAAATCTTTTGATCATGAAATCACGGCTATATAAAACTTTTTTAAAAAAAACATGGCATACTGTCAAAGGTCACTGCATTAACAGTTGAAATTTTTCTTTAAATTAGACAAAAATGTATAATTTTATTAGAAAATTACAAATACGCAAATATCCTTGGTGTTCAAGAATTCACACAGTACAACATTACAGTTTCTACTAGTTGTTTCATTGAGGTTGAGTCTTGAGACGTCAGAATGTTACTTTTCATCAGAAGATTGATGCATCTATAAAGAAGCTTTTGGCATTTGTTTTAATAGATTACAAACGACGACAGTACATAAACAAGCAATTTTCCTATTTTTCCTTTTGTTGTTTTTGTGTGGATAATTTTCCATGGCATAATTCCTTTAATGGTGACTTTAATCCAGATCTTTTTTCTTTGCCTTTAATTCAAGTTTATAGCAATCCAATTATGCATTAACCACATGATATGCTGTTCATCAAATTTTGTCGGTTTGATTCACACGAGGTATACAACCTGCAATAAAATTAAATATAAAAATTCAATGCCAACTGTTTGATAACAATTAGGGTGTTAATAACGGTCTTCATGTCATTACATAGTAACAACAATCATCAATGATTTTAACATTAAATTTAGTATACTAGGTGCCATTAATATATACCTTTTTAATACAGATTACAGTGTCCATGCATTTATATTTCCATGGCTATTTTCCGTTTTCTTACCCTGAAATTACAAAAAATAGAAAATTACAAAACGTTACAGTGTTACTAGGGACGGATGGCATTAGGGCAACAACCATTCAACAAAATACTTAATTGATTGATTATTTACTTTTGTAAAATCTTGAAGATGTAGCCATCTGGGAACGTTCTTCTGCCCCCAGCAAATTGGGATATTGACCCCAGCAAATTGGGACATTGACCCCAAAGAGGGGTGTACAATGATCTTCTACGGTAGTGAGTGTTTACTTTAGTACAAAATCCTTCTTCAAATATGCACGTTAAAATAAAATAAACTCGTATTTTTTATATATACTTTCTATGTATTTCTTGTCTCAATGGAAATTGTCTGCGAAGAACTTGCATTTGATGTTTTCTAAACTGTCTAGTGACCTCCAATATTGGAACCCAATTTTTTTCCACAGTCTGGTTGTAAAGATAAGAGTATTGTTTGCGATGATCATTTCCAATGTGTTGTTCTTGAAATAAAACCCAAATAATACTTGCTCTTAATGAACCTGGTACTCAGAGGCGCCGGAATATCGATAATTGGGGCAGATATTCATATATTCGTGTTCTGCCCAATTAATTTATTTTGAAATCGATTGTTTTTACAGTCTGTGAACACGAATATATGAATATCTGCCCCCGCAATTATTGATATTCTGGTGCCTCTGCTGGTACTCTGTAATCAACCTTCTTAATGATACACTCAGCACTGGTCATGCCATCTACAACTGATACGTTTGTCGTAAGATCATATTTTGTTTCTTTTAGTATCCCATAGTTTTAGAAGGATCATTTGGAATTTGCTTTTTTACTCTTTCTTTCAAGTCATTGGATAAATCACCAAGTATAATATCTATTCCTTTAACCTGAACCTTCTCATTTGTTGATTTATGAAATATTTCATGATTATGTTCATCTACTGCCATATTAGTACTAAATAAGTGTGTAGACGTTATTGGGTAATCAGGCCGTTCTGAATTAAGCGTCAAAATTCGTTCTTTTAGAACTCTAATATCAATTTCAGTGTGTTTGCCTTCCCTTATCCATTTTAAAATTTCAGCAAAGTCTTTATCTTCCCTTTGTCGCATAACCTGTGGCAATTCAAACATTTGAAAATATTGCTGCCAGAGATTGGATGCTAATGCATTATAGCTTTCATTTGAGTATTCGAATATCCAATGATCAAATACTGGTTTTAGTTGAAATAAATCACCAACAGTTATGACATTAAGACCACCAAATGGTTCTTTTATGCCCATTATCTTTGTTTTGAAGTTTCAAATAACAAATAACGTTTCAAATAACGAGTTTCCATGAGACAAGAAAAATATGCAGAACAGCAACAATATTAACAAAATGCCAAACGAAACTATTCATATCATATTTACATGTATCGTAACTACCTATATACGAGTGAGAGATATCATGTTCAACACAAGAAATAAATCTGGTATTTCCGCGCAGCCATGTATTATTCTGTTTATTATATAAACAAAATTCAGTGAAAAACAAAACGTCCGTGGCAATGCGTTTTACGACAAATGATATTTTCACACGTAAAAATATCGTATTTTTTACATGTGTTTAAATACGATTTTTCTCAGTGGCCAAAAACTCTATATAACACTTATGTTTATATAATAAAACCTATTAACTATAAGTATAACTAACAAGATTCTGATTGTACAGTACATAAGTTGATAACTACGTTCCTGCAGTACAACTGATATTCTTAATCACTGTCATTATCAATATCACTATATCTGACTTTGGTAAAATCAAAGTTGTGCTATGCAACGGAGGTGTGGTCCCCAGCTAATGTGAAGCTACAAGTTGCATTAGAAAGAGTTCAAAGGCGCACTACACGTTGGATTCTAAAAGTAAGTTGGAGAAATGTCTTATGAAGATAGACTGAAAACTCTCAATTTATTGCCACTAACTTACGATCGAGAAATCAGAGATCTTGTTCTGGTCTATAAATGTATTTTCGGCCACACTGATTTGAACATTTTGTGTCATTTATACATCATAATCGTACTCCGAATCCATCTCTAATGTTAAAATAGCCTCTCCTGAAAAGTTCACCAGTTTAACAATTTTTAAAAGCTTTCTGCATGTGACATACACCACATTGGTCAACAGTACTTTTAATGTTGATATGGCATGCACTTGGTCACTCACAAGACTGCCCCTGCCACCGTTCTTAATATGCATGTTATGTAATATATATTTGTATATAGTAGATTAGGTTGGGTTTTTTTCCTGTTTTTTTTGGAGGGGGTGCGCCTAGCATGGGTCTTGTTGTCCTGTTTGTGCTATCCCCTTTGGACTTAAATTGGAAATGTTTCTACTATATTTGTCCAATAAAGCTGATAAATTAAATTAAATTAATCTTAGGTTAAGAAAATTAAACATACCACTGCCTACTATAGATATTTCATCAATAAAAATAACTTGCAATTTTTCTAACTGAGATCTTACAGTATTTAATCTGTCTCTATCAAGTGTGCAATAATTAAATCCTCTGTTTGCAGGGATCTTAAGGTAGTACTGGAGTCTCAAGTCAACTCTTCCAATCGTAACAGTTTTTGGTCGGTTGGAAGATATAGTAACAACAAATTTTCATGCCAAGTTTTAACTCGCTGCGTCTTATACCAAACAAGATTTCGATTATCAAACTCTCGTATGGAATGGCAAATGTTCGTGCCAAATCAGGACATTAAAGCTGAAAGACAATGCATTTGCGTTTGCTCTCCTACAGCAAGTTTTGACAGAATTTTACACCTTCGATTGGTGTTGTGATTTGATACTCCAAACTCATGTGGATATTTCACACTTTTCCAGTTGTCCTTGCGCTTGAAGAACATGGCTGGTAAGTAATAGTTGAGACAGAAAACTGTAGTCTTCCTTTTGTTATTTCCCAGAAGAAAGAACATGATGCTAATCGACCGTTATTTCTTATATTTAGAATCAATCCAAGCAACTGCAGTGAGAGGTACAGGCAAAGGCAAACCCAAACGGGATTCAATGTGCCGTCTCGAAGAAGTGGTGCAATCAGCAACGTGAGTGTTTTCCATTTTTATATCTTTATGATTTAGAATATTCTAACAAGTATGCTGTTTTTTATACAGCGGCGAAGGAATACCAGAGGCCTTAGCACATCTGCTGACGTATCACTGCCGAGAGAGTGATACGGAAATGAGGCGCTTCGTGTACCGAAGCATGTTTTCCTTCTTGTCGGTAAATAATGAAACATCAGTTTGCGGTTGTAATATGTCTAATATAATCGCTTGGAAGAAAAGGAATGTACTGTAGATATTCTTTGCCCTTGGGTTTTGTTCTTTGCCATTGTAAGGGGTAAGGCAAGTTAGTTTGAAAGCCAAAGGCAAAGCGAGCACGTGGCAAGAGCTGGTATGTACGGTATTGTGATTTGTGCTTTACTCGACTTGATATAAAAACAATTTGCTACTTCTATTTTTCAGAGAGAACGAGGTGTGGATAACGGTGCTTCACTGGTGTACCCGCAAGAGATCCTTGATGCTGTTAGGGTACTTTACCCTGACGGTATCAAGGACTACCCACCAAGGGCAGGGAAGGTAAGCATTAGCATGACGACAGTTTCTCGTATATATACATATATGTGTATGTGTGTATGTATGGCTGTGTGTGTCTCTGTTTGTCTGTCTCATTGTATGTATGTGTGGTATGTATAATATGTATAGTATGTATAGTATATATATGTATACATACATACATAAACTTTATTTAAACATGGAAGAAAAACCATCAGTATGTATGTATGTGTGTGTGCATAATATATAATTGTGTATCGTTCATTCTGCAGAGAAAAAGGTTGTACGAGGTCACCCTTGAGGAATTGGTGCAGGAGTACCGCACCCTTAAGAGGTCACCAAGTCCTGAATATTAATTAACCTGTGACTATAAAAACATTAAATATGATACTCATTCAACACTGAATGAACCAACAAATTGCTCTTTTTATTTCATTTCAACTATTCCATTAAATTTTGGTCGCACATGGGAATGAACATACTGGGAATAATGCAAACACAAGGATTTTTACAATGATTTTCTTTTACTTTTACAGTACCTTTTTCAAAAATTGTTAATTATTTAAATATTTAGACGTAGGTTAACTAGAAAGTCTTCTATTTTTCCATCGCGTTTGTTTCCAATCTTTTTTTCTCGTCACCAAGCGTCTGCTCAGCGGTGAGGGCCATAGGCGTACCAGGGGGGGGGGGGGCGGTAGCCCCCCAGTTTTTTGGGCAGTCGGGCAATATTCGATTAACAGTCGGGCAATTTTGGTTTGTTATAAAAATAAATGGGACAAATTCTGTTTTGACCCCTAAAATGGTACACTCACTGACCGAAATTTTTTTGGCGAGGAGGGGGGGGGGGTCGCCAAAATAATTTTTCCGGAAAAATTTTTTCGGTACTAGTCGGGCACAATCCCGAAAAGTCGGGCAATTTTCTTTCCACCCCCCCTAATTTTTCCCGTCTGGTACGCCCATGGTGAGGGCACCATCCTCCATCCATATTTAAATGTACAAACGACTATTTAACTATGTAGAAAAACATAACATATTCTCAAATCATCAGTATGGATTTCGAAGAAATAGATCTACAGAAGACGCCTACTAAATCTAACCGATAAAATTTCAAAAGCTTTAGACAAAGGTAAATACACCACAATAGGAGTTTTCCTTGACCTTCCTAAGGCCTTCGATACAGTAAACCATGAAATTCTCTTCTCCAAACTACAACACTATGGGATCAGAGGAACATGTCTACAATGGTTCATGAATTATTTAGACGGAAGAACTCAAATAGTAAAAGTTAAACAGCATAGGTCATCTGAAATTAATGTTACTACTGTAGTCCCACAGGGTTCAATTCTTGGTCCATTATTATTTCTTTTATACATTAATGACATTGAGAACTGTAGTGATATTTCTTCTTTCATTTTTTATGCTGATGATACAAATGCTTTCTATTCAAATTTGTGCTTGAAAACATTATCTCGTACTATACATAATGAACTCGATAAGGTAGTCCAATGGCTAAATGTAATAAATCATCAATCAATGCATCCAAAACAAAAATTGTAATTTTTAAGTGCAAAAATAAATCACTGGATTCACAATAAAAATAAATGATATAATTAAACAGGTGCCTTCTGCAAAGTTCTTAGGTGTCACAATTGATCAAAAGTTGACATGGACTAACCACATCAACTCAGTTTTAAAAAGCATAACTAAATCCACAGGTATGATTGCTAAATTAAGACATTATACAAATAAAAACACTTTGAAATTGATGTACTATGCATTGCTCTATCCATACCTTACATACGGAAATCCAGTTTGGTGTAATACATATCCAACAAGACTACAGAATTTATTAAAGATACAAAAGAAAATTGTCCGACTGTGTTTTAAATCTTATACAGATCATTCAGAACCTTCATTTTTTAATCTTAACATCTTGAATATCTACAAAATTAATGATCATCTTTGCAGTCTATTTATGTATCGCTGCATGAATTATGATCAAAATTTGCCAAACCTTTACAATTATTACTTTATCCAAAATAAAGAATTGCATAATTATAATACGCGAAACTCTTCAAAATTACAGGTTAGTTACAAAAGGACGAAATATTGTGTTCACACTGTTCGATATTGGAACTTGATGAAGAAATTAAAAAACAAAAATAGTATTTTCCCTCTAAGAAAAAAGCCAAATTAAATTACTTGTTAATATAAATATTGTTCGCTAAAAGTAAAACATGTATGATATACGATGTTTGTGATGTTACTCCGAGTGTATATCCACACCGGGCGGAGCTTGAAAAATATGCCCGGTCACGGTGGGAATCGAACCTACGACCGTTGGAATACTAGCCCAATGCTCTGCCAACTGAGCTACGCGGGCAGGACGGTTCGAGTAAGTGATATTTCGGAACAGAATCTAGTTCCTTCGATACCAATGTAATCTAGTAATATGATTTTTCTGTGTTGGTGTTGTGTACTCAGGTGAATAATATGATGTTTGTGATGTTACTCTGAGTGTATATCCACACCGGGCAAGCTTGGTGTGGATATACGCTCAGAGTAACATCACAGACATCATATTATTCACCTAAGTACACAACACCAACACAGAAAAATCATATTACTAGATTACATTGGTATCGAAGGAACTAGATTCTGTTACGAAAATATCACTTACTCGAACCGTCCTGACCGCGTAGCTCAGTTGGCAGAGCATTGGGCTAGTATTCCAAAGGTCGTAGGTTCGATTCCCACCATGGCCGGGCATATTTTTCAAGCTCGCCTGGTGTGGATATACACTCTGAATAATATCACAAACATCATATTATTCACGTGAGTACAAAATAACAACACAGAAAAATGTATGATATATATTGAACCAATTTAGATTCATGTATTTTATTTTAATCAAAACAATATAGGGGCCTTATATCAAAAGTCCAACAGGATTTCAAAGGTCCCTAGCTCCTTTATATTATTGTATTTCAACTATATTTCCATTGTAAATATTTTTTGTGAGCAAATATATTCTATTCTATCTTCATGATAACACGATAGTGCATTACCAGAAATGTGGGACATTACGCGCCCGTACTCTAGTCAGCGGCTTCGCGCCTGATAATAGGATTCTAAAACAAGATGGCGGTGCGTTCTGATAAAACTGGTGTGAGGAATCGTGTTGCATATGAAGTTTTAAACAATATAAGTTCAGTTGATTTGCTGTACGATGAAAGGAAAAAACAAAGGACAGTTGGCATATATCAAGCCGAGCGCTTGATTGCTCGCAGGAAAGACAGAGAGGTATGAAATAGAGCAGTAAAAATTTGGGTCATGTCACTCATGTGTTTATATAATTTTCGCATTAAATAAAATATGAAATGCAGGACTTTTGTGCAACACTATAGTCCAGGTAGACATGTTGCATTAATATCAATAGTCTCACCATATCTTGTTTCCTCACTCAAGGGATGGAAGTACTTCGTTAAATGGGCTGGTTATAGTTCATTTGACAACACTTGGGAACCTCAAGGACATCTTTCTCCAGCGTTGTTGAGGTATGTATTTATAAAAAACGTAGAAGCGTGTAGTAAGATGAGATATTTGTTTTAAAACAACTGTTTATAATTGAAATGTTGACAATGAAATTTTCCATACAGGTCAAAGGTAACACAGTGTTTGAGAAAGGCTTAATTCTATAGTGCATACAATTTAAATCTTGTATTCATTTTTTATTAGGTATTTTGAAAAGCCTGATCCTTCACAAGATGTTGTACTTGACTGCATGGACAGTTTACGGAGGGAGATTTTGAGCTGCCTCAAACGAAAGGACCTCAACAACGAATTTCTATAGACTTTAGGTATGATGTCTACAAGTTCTTGTTTGTTGGAAAAGGAAAACAAGCTGAGCAGAGGGGGTATATATTATTTGAAGAAAATGATTTTTCAAAATGCCGTCTTCCCAAGTACTGGAATTGCTTGTTTGATCAACATGGTGATGGAATTAAAATAAACTTTCCTGTCAAGATGAGACCTTTTCTTGCTCGTTCCCGCAAAAGCTTTGTACGCAAAGGGGGAAGGATGGTGGAAGTACCTTGTGCTTTGACCGAGAAGATTTCTTTAACTTTTGTTAAAGTTGCATTTGGATGTTAATTCATGTACATTCGAAATTATTCACAGTGACTAAGCTAGACATAGCTACTTGATATGCTGTGCCAATAATTTTTTTTGTTACTACTTTGCAAACAAGGCCTTTCTGTAAATTTGAATAATAGAATTAATTATAAATTTTCATAGCTTGCCTAGATTTAATGTCTGGCTTTGCCACTGAACATTAGACTCAATAAAAGTTTGAACTTTGCCAATGGAAACAGTGTTTTATACTCGAGAAAAATTAATTTCAAAATAACACCAAATGAACTGGTGCCATCGATTTATTAACAATCAATTAATTGTAAGTATTGTAGCACCAAAAATGCTAAAACAACAGTAGCGTAGCCAACCCAACAATTTAGTCCCGCTATGCAAATAATTTCGTATTCAAATAATTTCATAAAAACAATCAATTTCAAAGAAATAAATGATGATAACAATTTTGAATTTGCATAGCAGTACTAACTTGTTGGGCTGGCTACGCGACTGTAAACCAATATCTCGTATAAAGTTAGCAAAAAACAACCTTTTGACAGTCAATATCAGTACATTCAGTTAACATTGAAGTAGATTTATTAGTTCATTTTTCTTCATTTTAGCAAGTCCTTGTCGGTTTAGTCCCATTTCTCTCACTTTTTGTCTTAATTGAGAAGCAGTAAAATTGCTGTAATTAGCTCTTGAACAAGTTTCAGCATCAACTGTAGCATTGACATCTGCAGTAATAACAATTGGCTTCGAAAGCTGTCTCCATTCTTTCCTTTGTCTCTTCATTGTCTCATCCCAGTATTCAAGATTTCTTTTTGTATAGCAATTCTTCTGACGTTGGCAGTTCTTCAGATCCCACTGTCTACTTTCTGTACAAAGAATATCTTTCACACTGTCCCATTTGTTTGATTTCTGAAACACCATGCGTTTCGCATCATCGTTGTTCTTTTCTACGCCTTGTCCTGTAAATTGCTTAATAGAGCCATATTTTTCAATAAATACTGGAACATGGTAGCACATGATATGCATGTAAGGAGTGACATGATCTCTGCGATAGACAAAAACGTGTAGGGTAAGTGAACAAAATAATTCGATCCATTTTTTTGCTTTGTGAAATACATCGTAGCATGAAGTATGGGTTAACAATGAATCGGTTATTAAATCATAGCAATTTTTGAATTCAGACCAAATGCTTGTTACCACATCAGCAATATCAGGGAAGAGATACTTTGGTAGTATATTTGGAAGCTCTGATAAAAGGAGTTTCTTTTGTGCCCCAACACAACTGGTATATTCTAAAATATTGCTAGCTGTGCCATCAGCATTCTTCTTATACCACGTGTTGAAGGTCACCCCACGTTCATGAATGTCTTTAACAAATTCATTCAACAAAACACCCTTTGCTTGTCCCTTTGGTTTGTTAAAATCTAGCATTGCATCTCTTTCTAAAATTTCATCTATAACATTCTGGAGAAGCCGATCAGTTATTCTTAACAAAAGATGCAATTCATCAGGAACCACATGATCGAGGTCTATTTTGATCAGAGGAGGGTTGATGCACCCATAATTGTCGCTCTTCTTAGAGCAGAGCTTCTCTATATCTTCTAGGGTCCTCTTTTGTTTATTTTGATGGTAAAAGTTAAAACATTTGCTTGTGTCCCATCTGTTGTTTTTGTGGATATTACACCATAAACAGGAGTAATTAGCAGTTGCAGAGTTAATACCCATAATCATGACAAGAAATTTTAAATCGCCCCCAAGAAAAAAATTCTAGGTTGACTTCTGTGTCATCAATGAGCATAGTCCCGCTTTCAATCAGTCCATTGACTTCTTGGAAAAACTTAGGTAATGATGCTGCAATTGTTTCATAGTTTTCCTTTCCATTAATTATTGCAATGGTTCGATTACTCTTCGATGACATAACATTATCATCTTGCAAAAGTGCCAAAGAGAACATCATAAAATTGGTTGATCGAGTCATCTTGGCACCATCACCACTTATTTTAACTTTAATTGTCTGTCCCTTTAGCTCTGGTTTCTTTGCCAGTAGTACTTCCACGTGATCTTTAATGGTTGCTGTAACATTAATCATAGCACCTGGACAGGGTCCGGATGTTCTTTCAATGTGATATGTTTTATTTAAGTTTGATCTTAATTGCTTGATAAGGTATGACCTTGGCAATTCTTCGGATACAAGCGTTAACTCATGATAGATCTCATCACTTACGCAGAATTTGTCCAAAAGAAACAGAACTTTCTCCAGATTACTGTGGTCATCACAACTCAAATCAGATATGCTGGGAGGCGATTCTTGATAGTTAAGGGAAGAAATTGTACCTTTTTCATCCTGCAGTTTAATACTCGTAAGCTTTAAGCCAAAACTCTCACAAAACCACAGAGCACATTGGGTTTTATTTTTGAGAAAGCGGAGCTTTCGTGATTGTTGCTTTTTCCCACCCTCATGGAATTTTTTCCCCTGACATTTCATGGAGTTATTTTTTTCCAGAGTCTCAATGTAATCAATTAAGTTTTTGTTTACTTCTGTCAGCTCTTGCACTTCTTCTTTTAATTTAATGATTTCAGATGACATTTCCTCATATAATTTAGTTTTGGCCTTATCCAAATCATTGTAGTTCCTTTTGAAATTCTCAAATTCTTCATTTACAAATTGCAACTTTGAATCCAACTCTTGATTTGACTTCACTTCAACCACTTCCCCCAACCTCGCAAGCCAGGGTCTTTTACCTACGCTCGGGCTCCGGCGAAGACCCTGGTTCCCTCTGGTCACGTGACCTCCTAAAAATTAGGACAACAAGAGGTCCTAGGGGAGGGTGGTTGAAATGTGATATGTTGTAATTTACAACTTCCGGTTAAATGTTGTGTTTGCAAGGCCCGCCGAGGAGTGACTGTAGAAAAGCTACGAGAAGTGACTTCAACTGTAATATGCAAAAACATTCAAAATGCATTATTTTTCTTATTTGTTTGCAGTTTTCTATTATAAATATTTTGTATGCAAACACTATTTTGAAGCCCAAGCACTTATTTGCTTAGAAAAGCTGTCCTTTGGCGTGTATATACTGGCAATTTTTCCAATCGGTAATATGGCGAGTCGCTATAAATTTACCAGCTTTTGTCTTTGATGCTTTTCGCTAAAAGAGCGTTAGAAGAACATCCAACTCATGGCGTTTGTGTAAATGAGTAATACTGCTCGTTACTGATATATCGCCAACGCGCCTTTGATAAACAATCCAGCTCGAAAATTATGTGTGATAAAACTCAGAGTATCAGCAATAAATGTTTTTCAGCAGCCATTAAAATGTGACAACGAAGAGATTGATTGCGATGTAGCTGAACTTGACCAAAAGACAAAACTAATTCTACTATACATGTTATTTTTCAATCGTCCATTATATTGTTATCTCAATTTTGTCCACTTTATGCCAAACGTAGTATATTAATTGTGTGTTGTATTTTATAACGTACCAGTCGTTATTGCATGACTGCTAGTACAGCATATAAACTTGACCGAAGGCACATAAAAGCGGAATCGCTTGGCTTGCATAATTGCTTTGAGTTGGTTGCAAATTCTGACTGAAAGATATGATGAGATCTTTTACGAAAAGGCATTCAGATACAGGCACTGATATTGATGCCTTGGAGGACATTTGCAACCCAATTTATGCTGCAGTGTATGCAAAACACAATGTTTATGTGTTGAGTGTAGTTTAGATATGGAAAGGGAATGATTTTACCTGATTAGACAAATATTTTGCGCCTGTGAAATATTCTTGACTTTGTACCAAATAAATAAACAATCACAAATTGAAATCATTTAAACTCAATTTACTTCATGGACAGTACAAAAACCCATACAGCAGTGCCAGAACAAAATTCTAAAATATACAGTATACTGTAACCATATAGCTATTTCAATTAAAGTTGACAAAGACAATAGTCAGATGTACAATAATATGAGTGCTATATAAATGAATAATGGGAATAATGATAGTTTTCAATAAGTTTAACACCTCAAATATATTATGAATACCAATTTAATTTGCATTACCATGAGGCTATTGATGTGTTAAAATAGGATATTTTTAGCGTTCAATTGTACATTTAACTATATTGTTTGTGACACTAACCTTAATTGCAGGAATAGCTGCATTATATTATAGAACAAGTGCAAATTGCATGTGCATCTGTTAATCCTTTCAAGCTAGGGTATATATATAGTCTTCGTAGCCTGTGCTACAGCCATACAAATCATTGTTGCTTATTCGTGCAAGTGTTACAGTATTCACAGTCATAATAATTCCTCTTTATCTTCTGATGTGTCCACTGGTAAGTGCTTGGTGAATGTTCCTCTTGCGTTTGTTTAGCTATAGTCATCAAATGCAGCGACAATTTGTCTATAATGTTGCTAATGTATCTGATGATATATCATGCGAAGAAACCTTCATGAAAGTGATCATATATTGTTGATTTTAAATGGTTTCAATTTCAAGAGATGAGATAAAATAACACTTTTCTCTGAAGATTTGTGCTTGTGAGAGGATGACTTAATTCCTACAGCTATGTCGAAGTTGTTTATCGTTTCTGCAGATATCCCTTCACCTTCAGTCGCTCTACTTTAATATTAAATAAACATTCGATTGACTTCACTGTCTTAGGTGTTTTTTTGGCCGCCATTCTTTTAATTTAATGTTAATTTAGGAAGATTAGAAAATCCGTCATTGAATCCATTGATCATCACACGCAAGAGTTTCACAATTCACAAATTCTGCGATACGAAGCAGGTTTTTATTTCGCCATTCAGCTACCTCTAAGAATAGGTTTGGTTGTAATACTTCTTGTCGATAATACTACCACAAAGGTGACACTTGCATTCCGAAAACAAAGCGGACTTCGGATAAATCATCTTTGGAGTTTCCGAGTTAAAGTTTACATTCATTTTAAAGCGTAGCCATTCAGCTTTCTAACAGTGGGTTGTTTCTTAAATTTGACCCATTGGTTCTCGGGTAATAATACTTTACGTTATTGCGATTGGAGATTAAAAAAATTGAGATGGAATTAACAAATCGTTCTCATCAAAATAACTGTTTTTTTCATTAAAACAAAAAAATGTTGCATTTTATTAAATGGATTGTAACAATAAGTATAATTACGGCTTTTCTTCCACTATTTTTAACTCAGTTTGAAACTTCAAATGCGATATAATTTTGGCTTGGACCATCAAGCTGACTGACATCAACTTGCTATAATTTCTGTTTACATTGCATCGCAATTTGATGACACTCTGGCTCAGACACCAGAATGTTTTGACGATTTTTAGCATTCGTTTAGGATTTTCAAACAACCTGGTCTCTTTTAAAATACTTTTAATTTGTTCTTACGTGGTTTCCAGATGTAGTGACGACAACATTAAAGTTTAAAGAAGAAAATTCTAACATTTAAACCGACTAAACAATAACATAGTAAACTAGCATAATTAAACAGCAACTAAAAATGATAGGTTTTACTAAATCTTTTCCTGTGCAATTATTACAAGCATTGGGGACAAGGATAATTAGTTTATTTGAAAGAGAAAAGAACAGGCTTTGAAGTAAGCCTAAAAGCGTTTAACTAGAGATAGTATTTCGAAAGTTATTAAGCACAAAAGATGAATTGCATTTATTTTGATACACCCTGTAGATTTTTTTGTTTTCGCTCTTGAATTCCCCCTACCACTCCTCCCTAAGTGGCAAAGAGGCGCCAATTCGAATTACCCCTAAAATCTGGGGGTTCACGTGACCAGAGGGAACCAGGGTCTTCGCCGGAGCCCGAGCGCAGGTAAAAGACCCTGGCTTGCGAGGTTGCCACTTCCCCTCGCTTAACACTGAGCTTATAGACGTTATCATTTAATAAATTGTTTTTCTTTCTTCCCTTGGCTTTTTTATGAACAGAACTAACATAACTGCACTGCTTACAAAGCAATTCGTTAATGCGTTGATTATTACGTTTTATTTTACACCATTGGTCGACAAAAGTAGCATTAACAAGATCAACATAATTATAAATATTTGCATTTTCACAGGAAGTGTGCTCTAGAATTGTTTTCCATAAATTAAGTAATCCCCATGGAATTTCCACACAGAACAGGATTTCATTCACTAAATCTGCTTGATGCCTCACATAACTTAAAGGTGATTCTGTAACCAATTTCAATTTCCAGTCAAGCTTTCGCTTACTGTAGTCTTCTAGTAAATCTGACATTTTGATTTTTGCGCGGGAAAGCAACATACAAAAACACGAAAATCAACCAGTTACACACGGATAACATGAAGTATTGAGGCTGTATTTAACGCTAAAAGGACTAGTAACTAGTTTCAAACGACAAAAACAAAGATGGCTACCCAAAGAAGGCTTTACTCAAAGCATTTGGTAGATAAAGTAGCATGCGAAAGATGACATTTCTCAGTGGTTTCGTGATCGAAAAAGCCAAAATTCAACTCAACTGGGAACCTGTTGGTTGTATCCGAACTGATTTTGATTTAAATTTATAAACAATTCAAACATTGAAGTATTCGTTGTGAGCTCCGCACTTTGCAATACCTGAATGGAAGTTGGCGTATTCAACGAAGTTTTACCTCATGTGTAACATAAATTACTATAAATTGTATTGTGATACGCATCAAATAAACGACTTCATCGCATTTATCTCGGGAACCTCTGCGATTTGGTGAAATGATGCAAATTCGTGTTAGATTTGTTGCTTATACATGTCTTTGTTGAAATCGAGCTCCGCAATAGTCTCTGAGAACTATAAATTTCTATAATTTCAAAAGCAATCTTGAATTGCTTAACTTATTTAGACAATTATACGTTATGAAGGGCACCTGGCACAATGTTATTGTGTTTCGAGGAGGTTTGCATTGGCATTGCTGATAATGTATTGTCAATGGTACCTGCGCATCTTGGATTTATCATTTTTATATAATTAACTCCTTCGTGCACAAGATGCTCCCCTTCACAAATAAATTGGCTGACATTTGACAGAGTAAACTCTATGGAGGAAACTTAACTCTTTATCGACAAGCGACATTTTGACGATTTTACGACTCAATTGTTTATAACGTAAATATCTCAGCGTGTATTCACCCCCCTTTAAAACAAAGAATACCATTGAAATCCTAATAAAATAGGATTGGTCGGGGGTCGAATGCCATCAAAGCATCACACAAACTGAAACAATCATATATTTACTCAGCACTTGGCCAAACATTCAGAATTTTGTTTCCACAATAGCGTGAATAACTTGTGAATTCTTGAGAGTTTGTCACAAATCAATACGAGTGAAACATTTGTTGTATTCAAGCGCTTTTATTTTTTATTTAAGTTCATCAATGATCACAGGCATGGCTCACCAACGATGGGTGGTCATCCTCACTGATCTCAAAAATATGGCTGACTGTCATGAATAGCGGACACTGATTGGTCCAATTTAAAAAGTTTGCATTATAACGACTGCATGACGACAACGAATAGCAAACATTTCTTGATTTGATGATAATTGATAAATTTCTTGCAAATATATTTCTGATAAATTTC